TTGCTTGAGCCCAGGAGTTTGAGGTTGCTGTGAGCTAGGCTGACCATGGCACTCACTCTAGCCTGGGCAAGAAAGTGAGACTCTGTCCCCCCCAAAAAAGAAAGGCTTTTCTGTGGATAGCCAACCCAATCACATTTGGTAGATATGTGATAAGAGCCAGGAAACCACAGATACTATACTGAGCTTTTTGTCTCTACCCAGACAGCCAAAGATTGGAAATGAACAACAACAAAGTTAATCACATTCAAAAAACGAGAAGAAAAATACTAAAAGATCTTTCCCCCTGTATACCAAGTTCCATTATATGATTAAACTGGAGCATATTTTGTATTTTTCAAGAAATATCAGGTCACAATTTATTTTATTTATTTATTTTTTTGAGACAGAGTCTTACTCCGTTGCCTGGGTTAGAGTGCCATGGCGTCAGCCTAGCTCACAGCAACCTCAAACTCCTGGGCTCAAGTGATCCTCCTGCCTCAGCCTCCCGAGTAGCTGGGACTACAGGCATGTGCCACCATGCCCAGCTAATTTTTTTTCCTATATATATTAGTTGGCCAATTAATTTCTTTCTATTTATAGTAGAGACGGGGTCTTGCTCTTGCTCAGGCTGGTTTCGAACTCCTGACCTCGAACAATCTGTCCACCTCGGCCTTCCAGAGTGCTGGGATTACAGGCGTGAGCCACCGTGCCAGGCCTCAGGTCACAATTTAAAAATTCTTAAAGCCTGACGTGATGTTAATTGAATAATGACAAACTGTTTTTCCAGAATCTCAAGGCATCTCAGTTCAGTCTAGGGCACTTATTAAGCATCTAGTGAATGTATGGTACTGTAGGAGCAACAGCGGACGCATTCTAAAATAAATGAAACCCTGCATCTGCGATCAAAGAATTCCATTTTCAAAGGAGAGGATCTCTTGTGATCTCAAGAGTATTTTCAAAGTCTCCCCCCCAAAAAGGAGGTTGCAAAATTAATTCCCATTCCTTTACTTTAAATAGTAAATGCATGTATTAATAGTATATAATGTGTTTAAGCATAATTTGCAAAGTCAAGTTACACTGAAATCAGACCACAGTATCAGAACTTATGACTCATTCTGCTGATACCTGATTTTTTTTCCTTTTGTTTTATAACTTGTAATCATTATAAGCCGAGCCGTGGCCTATGATTAAATCTTGGCTGCTCAGGTGCAGAACGGTGAAGCCTGAACATAATTAACAGGCTCTTCTCAAACCAGCTGTTGGGAAGGACCAAGAAAACTGTCAAGTTTCCAGCCCTTCCTGTCCTCCCCTGGGTTAGAGTTTCTCTCCCTTAGCTCATACTAAAGTCACCTGTGCCTGGACACCACCAAAAACCAATTTGAGATTTTAATCCCTGGGGATATGCATTAGGCTATGATTGTAAATGACTTTGTGTTAAACTACAAGATCAAGATTGCTACTTTTTTATGCTGTGAACATGCTGAAAGACTGAGCAGGAAAAATGGAGCTCGACTCTCAGAACATTCCATCTGAAGGGCCCCCTTTGAACATAGCAACTGTTCAGTTGGTGGAATTTGGTTATACAAGTAATGAGTATTTTGTGAGAAATCCTCTTATGGGCTCCGTAGCATTAACAATCTCTTGCAACAAAGACAGCTGAAATGAATAGGGGAAGAGTAGAAAATGTCATCTGAAAAAAATGCCAACAATGGTCACTACTAGCACATTCAGCCATCCTGGTTTGCCTGGGACTGTCCTCATTTCAGTACTGAAAAGTCCACATCCCAGGAAACCATCAGTCCTGGGCAAACAGGGGTAGCTTGTCACTCTACCACTACCCTGCTTTATGGAGATTGCAAGGGTTGAGAAGGCATTTGCTGCCCAGTGCTGAGCAACAGAGATGGTTCCTCTGTTTTTTTTTTTTTGAGACAGGGTCTCACTTTGTTGCCCAGGCTAGAGTGAGTGCCGTGGCGTCAGCCTAGCTCACAGCAACCTCAAACTCCTGGGCTCAAGCGATCCTCCTGCCTCAGCCTCCCAAGTAGCTGGGACTACAGGCATGCACCACCATGCCCGGCTAATTTTTTGTATATATATTTTTAGTTGGTCAATTAATTTCTTTCTATTTTTAGTAGAGACGGGGTCTCGCTCAGGCTGGTTTCGAACTCCCAACCTCGAGCAATCCACCCGCCTTGGCCTCCCAGAGTGCTAGGATTACAAGCGTGAGCCACTGCGCCCGGCCTTCTCCCCTTCTTATCCAGAGCATTAAAAGCTGGGTACTATGATACTGAAGAGTGACTGCTACAAGAACATGACACAGAAGAGAAAAACACCTGTATAGAATGAGCTGGTGTGGGCAAAGGACATGAACAGAAACTTCTCAAAAAAGACAGAATAATGGCCAACAAACATATGAAAAAATGTTCAACATCTCTAATCATCAGGGAAATGCAAATCAAAACACAATGATGGCCGGCCGTAGGTGGCTCGACTGCCTGTAATCCTAGCACTTTGGAGGCTGAGGCGGGCGGTATTGCTCAAGGTCAGGAGTGTCAAAACCACCTGAGCGAGACCCGTCTCTACAACAAAAATAGAATAATCAATAATTGACCAACTAAAAATATTAAATATACAATTAGCCGAGCATCGGTGGCGCATGCCTGTAGTCCCCAGCTACTGCAGGAGGCTGAGGCATAGGAATGCGCTTAGCCCGAGATTGAGGTTGCTGTGAGCCAGGCTGACGCCACGGCATCTCATCGCTAGCCTGGGCAACAAGTGAGACTCTGTCTCAAAAAAAAACAAAAAACACAAACAACAAAAAAAACCACAATGAGATATCACTTAACTCCAGTGAGAATGTCCCCGAGAAAAAGTCCCTAGCACAATGGCTGTGTGGATGCGGAGAGAGAGAGACACTCTACACCTGCTGGTGGGACTGCAAACTAGTTCAACTCTGTGAAAGCAATATGGACGATACCTCAAAGCGATACAAGTAGATCTACCATTTGATCCAGCAATTCCACTACTGGCATCTACCCAAAAGATCAAAAGTCACTTTATGAAAAAGACACCTGCACTCAAATATTTATAGCAGCACAATTCACAATTGCAAAGCTATGGAAACAACCCAAGTGCCCATCAATTCATGAGTGGATTAATAAAATGTGGTATATGTATACCATGGAATACTACTCAGCTTTAAGAAACAATGGTGATATAGAGCCTCTTGTATATTCCTGGATAAAGCTGGAACCCATTCTACTAAGTGAAGTATCTCAAGAATGGAAAAACCAGCACCACATGTACTCACCAGCAAATTGGTATTACAGATCAAACCTTAGTGGACATATAGGAGTAACATTTATCGGGTGTCGGGAGGGTGGTAGGGGGAGGAGGGGATGGGTATATACAACCACAATGAGTAAGATGCGCAACGTTTGGGGGATGGACATGCTTGAAGCTCTTACTAGGAGGGAGGGGCATGGCATATAAGTAAACCTTAACACTTGTACCCCCATAATACGCTAAAATAAAAAAAAATAAATAAATACAGGAAATCTGAAAACTAAAAAAAAAAATAGAATGAGCTGGTGTATTGGATGCATGATAACCATAACCATAATGAACAAAGCAGTGTTTTTTGTTTGTTTCTTTGTGTTTGCCTATGGTTCTTTAATGTTAATGTTAACTATATATTAAGATGGGAAATAGCTTTGTTTTAAGGAATGCACCCTTAAAATATTATTCACTAGCAAGGTATTTAACCTGTACAGTGAAGCCAGGAAACTCTGGCCGATTTTCCCACTATGTTTTCTGAAAGGGCCATAGTTAATGTCTGATTGTTATTTATTTTTGAGACAAGGTTTCACTCTGTCACCTGGGCTAAAGTACAGTGGTGTTGTCATAGCTCACAGCAACCTCAAACTCCTGGACTCAAACAATCCTCCTGCTTCAACATCCTGAGTAGCTGGGACGATAGGCATGCCACCATGCCAGGCTAATTTTTCTATTTTTTGTAGAGACAGGGTTGCTGTGTTGCTCAGGCTGGTCTCGAACTCCTGGCCTCAAGCAGTCCTCCCACTGCAACTTCCCAAAGTGCTGGTATTACAGGCGTGAGCAGCCATGCCCAGCCTGGCTATTGTTAATAGCAATGTCTGGCTCATCAAGTTAACCTTTTCCATTATCTTCCAGTGGCTGAGACTTAAGGGAGTGGAGTAATTTAGTGGCATTCACTGCAGGAGCTGTGTAGACACTGTCACTATGCTTTTAAAAAATCTTTTTGAAGTAATAGATGCTCATTATAAAAATTCAAACAATACAGAAATGTAGACAGTAGAAGCCCATTTCCTCAAACTGCCATCCTACCCCAAGTTTGATGTATATACTCCCAGTCTTTTGTTGGACATATATTAACACGTATGTTTTTAAAAATAAATTGGATGGTATTATGTATGCTAATTATAGTCTATTTTTTTCACCCAGACAACATATCATGGCCATCTTTCTATATCAATAATAAAGAATTATCTCATCCTTTTTTTGAAGACTGCATAATTTTCCATTGGTTATATCTCATTATATCTTTTTTTTTTAAATCAGTTCCCTAGTGATGGACATTTAGGCTGTATGACATTCTTGCTGTCATAAAGAATGCTGCAGGAAATATCTTTTTTCATTTTTGCATATCCATCCAATTATTTCCTCTGTACAAATTCTTAAAAGTGGAATTGCTGAGTTAAAGGCTTCCAGCTAGGTTTAGAATGTAGGAGATAGGCGAGTCTGAGTTAATTTTATGGGGTCCATTTTTGAGACTGAATTAAAATTTCTTAACTTGAGGAAAAAAGAAAATATAATTCAGATGATAAAGTGGAAAAAGCAGCAGACTGGGAGTTAGAATACTTTGGTTCCAGTCCTTGTTCACTTCCCAACTAACTGGTTGACCGTTGACAATCTCTGTAACCTTTCTGGTTACAATCTCTGTAACCTCATCTGACTCTTGTCTCCATTTGTATTTTGTCACACAGATCTTTCAAAATAAGTGAGAGTCATTTTCTACCATGCAAATATGACCCTCGGCTTAAGTCCATCAGGAGTTCACAGTTGCCTTCAGAATGAAGCTAAAACTTCTGGCTGATCATGTAGCAGCCTGCATTTCCAGCTTCCTCTCCCTTCACATGTCCAGCCAGGACCTTGGACCCAGCTGCCTTCGCCTCCTTGCATTGATGCTCACAGCTTGTTATGCCTCTGGGTGTTGGTTCAGGTTGTTCCTTCCTTCTGGAACAACTGGTCCCCAATTCTCTGACCAGTGTACTCCTACTCATTCTTCAATAAAAAGCTTAGGCTTCTTGCCTTATTGCAAACATTTCCTGATCTCTATGGGTTGATCTGATGATGCCTCTTCTTTCAGCTCTTGTGGACATAACATATTACCCCCTCTGATACGTCCTCTGTAATGTGTCACTAATCACACTGGGTTATAATGGCTGACTTCCTTGTCTGGTCACTGCCCTCTTTCGAGGGGAGAAACTGTGACCTGTTCGTCTTTGAATCACCAGTGTCTATCACAGTGTGTGACACATGTAGATGTTTGCTAAATCTTTGTGGAATAAAACAGTTGATCTGTAAAATAAGTGATTGGACATAGTAATACAAAATTCTAGGATTTTATGATAATTAAAAGTTGAAGGGAACTGCAGAACAACTCAAGATAAGGAAACAACTCAAGATAATATAGTAAAAAACACAAAGGAATTAAAATGGTATACTAGAAAATGTCTATTTAACATAAAAGAAGGCAATAGAGGAACAGAAAAGACATGAGACATACAGAAAACAAAACAGCAAAATGGCAGGTGGAAATCCAACCACATCAATAATGATGTCAATGCAAATGGTTAAACACTCAAATCAACAGGCAAAGATTGTGAGACTGGATTTAAACAAAACAGATCCAACTGGCATGCTGTCTACAACAGACACACTTCAGATTCAAAGACACAAATAGGTTGAAAAGAAAAAGATGGAAAAATATATACCATGCAAACATAAGAGGGCAAGAGTGGCTATAACCAGTATCAGACAAAAGACCTTAAGACAAAAAATGCGAGTAGACACAAAGAGGGATGTTTCATAGTGATGAAAACATCAATTCATTAGGAAGATACAAAAATTATAAACATATATGTGCCTACCAACAAGAGTAGAAGAGAACTGTAGGATGAATTATGCATATTTTCAAAACCATCCCTTGGAACCTCTCTGGGTTCTTTATCTGGCGACCTCCTCTTCACTCCTCTCAAGTGTCATCATGTCCAAGTGCACCCTAGTGGCAGCTTTGATGGGGAAAAGCAATCGCAGCAGCACCAACAGAAAACAGCCTGGGGGAAAAGGAGCTGTCATTTTTAGAGGGGAGATGTTTAAGATCTCATTTTAAACATTGGACCTTCTAGTCTTCAGAATTTTGTCTGCCCAGAGTCCGTTTCTTCTCTTCTCACGTCTCCTTTCCTTTAATTGGTCTTCCTCTTGCCACACCTTGTTTCTGAGAAATTCTGGTCTTGATGCCAGAAATCTTACATTTTCCTCATGGATTCAACATGCTTTTTTTTTTTTTTTTTTTTGCACTAGTGCTAGTTCGACTCTTGGATGGAAAGTACCATCTTCTGGTGTGATGGGAAGCCCTGATTATTGATTTAAAATCCTCCTACCATTCTTCAACTTCTTAGGAAGTTGACTCACAAAACAGGAGCTCTGTATGTGGGTTGAGAATATTGAGTGGGCTGGTGGGTGGATTCAGATAGGAGAAGTCCAGTGAGGACTAATGACCCTATCTAAGAAAGAGTCTCCAAACTAAAGGTGTGGGGGTGGGGAGGCGAGGTGGGGACTCTGGAGCCATCTTGGCCAGAGAGGAGCGCAAGGAAAAATAGAAGATTCAGGGGAGAGAGCAATAAGGGGATGTAAATGGAAGAGATGCACATTTCCGGGGGGACACTGAGAAATTTTGCTCTGGGATGAGCGAAACAACCCTCTCCCGCATCTCCCAACAAAAGCTTCAATAAATAATAAGACATCACTCACTACTGGAGCAGGGTTTGTTGTTTTTCTTTAATTTTGTTTTTGTTGATTTTTAATGTGATGATGTGGCAAGACCAGCCTGAAGGTGGCCAAGAGCAAAAGTAGAGGTCATCACTGGTGGGCTACGTGGAGACCAGGACTGAGCGTCACATCTCAAATGTCAGCAAATACTGGCTGAACTTGTACTCCCTAGTGACAGAGTTTCCAAAATGGATGAGACATCAGTGCCTATCCTCAAGGAATTTGTGGGCTGGTGAGGGAGACAGACACATTAACAGGTAATTATATAATATGCTAAGTGCTTCATTACAGGGAAAATCTGCATCATGCATTGGGAGCTGTGGGGCTTCTGACTGACCCTGGGGACCCCTGGAAGGCATTCAGATGGGGACAACACCTGGCTCAGTTCTCTGGTGAAGAAAGACATGAGCAAAGTCACAGAACTACGAAGCAGAGTGGTGCTTCCTGGGATCTAAAGCAGTACAGGCCGGGCGCGGTGGCTCACACCTGTAATCCTAGCACTTTGGGAGGCTGAGGCGGAAGGATCGCTTGAGATCAGGAGTTCGAGACCAGCCTGAGCAAGAGCATGACCCCTACAAAAAATTAGCCGGGTGGGCGTGGTGGCATGCGCCTGTAGTCCCAGCTGCTCAGGAGGCTGAGGCAGGAGGATCAGTTGAGCCCAGGAGTTTGAGGTTGCAGTGAGCTGTGATGACACCACAGCTCTCTAGCCCAAGTGATGAAGAGAGGCCCTGTCTCAAAAGAACAACAACAACAAAAAAAACAAACTAAAAGCAATTCATTATCAACAGAACATGCCCTGCATGGGTTTGTGTCTTACCTACTCTCCCTTCCATTCTCTCTTCTCTCCTCCTTCCTTTCCACCCTTGTCCATTCACAGAGCTCATTCCATGCCGTCCATGGCCAAAGCCCAATGCTAGGAGCCAGGAACAAAACAAGGGGAAAAAAAAACCAACGTTGCCATTGGCCTCATGGAATTAATCACACAAATAAAAATATAATTTCAACTTGGGGTTCCTTTCCAAAGGAAAATTCCAAGTAGGATGGCCAGTTAAAATACAGGGTACTCAGTTAACTTTGAATGTCAGGTAAACAACACATACAATTTTTTTTAGTGCAAGTATATCCCGTGCAGCATTTGGGACATGTCTATCTTAAAAACATTTTGTTATTGATGTCAAATTCAAAGTTAAGTGGGAGTCCTGTATTTTTATTCGCTGAACCTGGCGACCTTAAATCCGGGATGCCGGGAGAGTACAAGACTAGAGGATGTGCGTGCAACAGGGGTGCAGCGAGGAGGGTGTTGGGGAAGGTCTGAGATCTGCAGAACACGAGGAGGCACCTGCGAGAGGAAGGTGACCTCAGAGGAGGAGACAGCATGGGTAGACACAGAAAGCAGCCCAGACAGGGCATTTAAGAAACCAAGAGGAGCCTTCCGGGGGCTCGAGCACAGAGATCATCACTAGGGTGTGGAGAGAGGAGAAGCAATGGGAAGGTGAACAAATATATCTCGTGTTTAAGGAGGGATGCGGCACAAGCAAATGTCAGGTATGGTGACTCAGGTTCTTGCTTCCGAAAGATGAGTCAGTGGAGACGGGCAGTGGACTCAGCCCCTCTGCTGCCGGATGTCAAGGAATCATGACTCAGTGGCCAGCACGAGGCCGGCACGAGATCCTCCCACTCCTCAGAGTCACCCCCCGATGAATCTGACTTTGCCTGTAAACCACAGGGAATTTTAAAGCTTGGAAAGGTGCTGGGAGGCCAGTTTGTTTCAGCTTAAATACAAAGTGCAGCATGACTGATCTGGCAGAGAGAAACTGATGGGAGAAACCTTTTAGTGAAGACAGGAAGCTGGGGGTGAGGGGGAGGCAGGAGGAGCGAGCACCCTGTATGTGGTCAGCTGCTGAAACCCTAAATAAAACGTTTTTTTAAAAAAACCCTTAAAACCCTAACACTTTGTGTCCAATGTCCAGATTTGGTTAATGCTAAGATGTTTGTGTCAGAGTCTTTTTTAGAAAACTAAAACAAAACCTTCAAGATTGAGCTAAGGATTCCTGTTCAGTCCTCTTTCTTTCCAGAAGTGAGCCCTGTTATGGAATTAATATCAGATCCTTCTTATCCACATTTTTTTACTGCATTATATATATATATATATATGTGTATATATATATACATATATATATATCTTTATAAATAATATATGAGATCATGCTATATATATCCTTTTACAACTTGTTTTTGGCACTAAACATTATATTTTCAGGATTTGTGTATGTTGATACGTGTAGATCAATTCTTTTATTTTTTTCAACTGCTCAAAGCATTTGGAATATATGAATATACCACAATCTTCAACCAATCTCCCACTAGTAATGTATAGGTTGTTTTCAAATTTTCACTGTTACCAAACACTGCTTTCATGACTGTCCTGGTACATATGCCTTTTGGGGCCCAGGAGCAAGAGTTTCTGCAGGGTATTCATCTAGACGTCAAAGTGCTGAGCAGACAGTGTGCACATACTCCATTTTAGTAAACACTGTCAACTTGTTATCCAACTGTGATTGTGCAAATTTATTCCTCTCCATTTCTTTACATCCTCACCAACCAACTCTAAGCTATCAAGACTGTCAAAAGTTTGCCAATCTGATGGCTGTGAAAGTATTTCATTGCTGTTCTACTTTTGCCTTTTCCTGATTGCCATCTTTTCATATGTTTCATAGCTATTTGAGTTTTCTCTTCTGCGAATCATGAGTTCATATCCTTTTGCTCTTTTTTTCTATTGTGTTGTCATTTTCATAAGCATTCTTTATATTTGGTTCCCAATCTTTTGTATATTCATGTATTACAAATTTCAGTCTGTGGCTTGTCTTTTTTTTTTTTTTTAAGTTTTATTTTAAGATTATTATAGTTTGCATGTAGTTGGAAGAAATAACACACAGATCTCCATTTACCTTTCCCCCATTTCCCCCAATGGTGACATTTTGCACAAGAAATTGACATCAATACAATCCATTGACTTTATTCAGATTTAATAAGATTTATGTGTATTTAATTCTATATGATGTCATCATGTGTTTCGATTTGTGTGATCAGCGACACAGTAAACATACAGAATAGTTCCATGACAAGAGTGCTTCCTGCTGCTCTTGTACAGCCATTTACCTTCCCCCACTCAACCCTTGGCAACTACTGATTAGTATTCCATTTCTATAATCTTGTCATTTCAAGAATGTTAAATAAATGGAATTACACAGGATATAGCTGGTTTGAGATTGACTTTTTTCATTTACTATAATTCCCTCAAGATCCATTCAAGTTGCCGTGGGTATCAGTAGTTGGTTCCTTTTTATTGTGGAGTAGAATTTTGTGGTGTGGATGGATCACAGCTTGTGTCATCTGTATCATTTCCAGTTTGAGGCTGTTGTGAATTATACTGCTATGAATAATCATGTACAAATTTTAGTGTGAACATAAGTTTTTATTTCTCTGGGATGAATGCTCAGGTGTGCAGTTGCTGAGTTACGTGGAAGCACATATTTAGCTTTATTAGATATTGTAAAAGTATTTTCTAAAGTATCTGTGCCATTTGACATTCTTACTAGCAATGCGTGAGTGATCCTGTTTCTTCCTGTCCTCGCCAGCATTTGGTATTAGTGCTATTTTTTATTTTAGCCATTCTGATAGGTGTGCAGTGATATCTCATT